ATATATCATATATATATATATATATATATATATATATATATATATATATATATATATATATATATATATATATATATAATATGTGTATCAAGAAATAATCACCAATATGAAGATGTGAATCTAGCAATTATATAAAAAATTAAAAACGTTATAATTGGTATTAATATATAATCATTCTATGTTCTTCCTTGCTTTGTGCTTATGTATGAGTTTAGAGTGATTTATCTATGATCAAGATTAAGTTTTAGATGAAATTAAGTGAAGATTCAAATTAATTGATATTAAAGATTAATGAATGAGTTATAGTTAAGGGTGACATGTCACTTAAATTAAAAAATAATTTATTCTCTCTTATTATGCAAATGAAGTGTAGTAGTTACATAAATATCATTATTTTTAAGAGCGATTGAGATATTTTAAAAATTAAATATGACCTAATAAGATCAAGGATAGGTAATAAGACAACAGAGAATAAGCTTGATAATTGAGAGAAAATAATTCACATACTAACGAAAGTCTTTGAATAACTATAAGCTTTGTTTGTTACTTTTCACGTATCTATAAGCACTACAGAGATCCCCGTAAAGAGAGGGTTCAGACTTAAGTATCATCATTAAGGGTTAGCAGCACATGAATACCCAATATCTACTTGGGTTAGCAGTAATAGATAAAAAGCTATATTAAGTTTACCCAAGTCATAAAACCCTACGGCAAAAAGATCATATAAAGTATTATAATTCTCCAAGATGTTAATATTGAAAAAGAAAAACCAATGGTTAAAAGGATAATTACCAGCTCATAGATCAGTTCAAACCTTGATACTAAACTCACAACTATTGATCTTATAAAGTCCACCCATAACATTCAAGCAATAAGTTTTTCTAGTAAAGGACATTCTTGAGGGATTGTAAGACTCTTAAGCTTTTAATTCATCATATTTAACATGTTAGATTTGGACCTAAAGTTTATCCTTTCGATTTAAAAGAAGAAAAATGTGCTTAGCATTTATAGTCCACTTGACTAGTGCTACATCGTAAATGCCAAGATCGCTATTACATTTAGAGCTCGTGATCCTATCCCAATCTATAATCTACATTTGTTATAGTTACGATAATCATTGTAGAAAAATTTTTCTCATGAGTATTTCCATGACCTAAAGAGTCTTATCAGAAGTTTAGGAATAAAAAAGAGTATGAGTAAAGATGAAGGTCACAGTGGAGCTAATTAGGATAGCCTTGCTTGCTTGGAAGAGATAGCCCTTGAACCACCCCCTCATCCTACTAAGGGCTTTATCCACCATCTTGTTTTGGTAGCATTCAGTTAGTCTGCCTCGAGTAATAAAGGTTTCTAAGTAGTACATGGGCCAAGTCCCTTTCTTACTGCAAAGGGAGGAGCAAATTTGATACTTAACATGATAGAAGTAATTATTAAGAAAGAAGATATTAAACTTATCGATATCAACCTTAAGATTAGTCAGTGAAGTAAAAAAGATCAAGTGCAACAAGAGTGATCAAACAGTATTTTTATTTTGCCCAAAAGGAGATCAATATATCATCTACAAACATAAGGCATATATCTTATCTCTAATGTTGAAAGGAGTGAGCTTATTAAAAGTTACAAGATCCAAAAGGATAGATAAGAAGAGTTGTTAAACAATGATGTAAAGATTCAATGACAATGATAAGTATAAAAAAATATGAAGTGCTAACATTAATTAAACAAGTAAATAAAATAGACAAGGGACAAGCAAAAATCCTATCAACAAAAGTCATAAGAAAGTTCATAAGGTTTAGCACCCTAGTGATTGAATCCCATGAGAGGTTGTCAAAAGCTTTCTCTATGCCTTTAAGATGAAAAGAGGAGAGAAACTTTTAGAATGAGACATAGAATGGACTAATTTATTGATGATATGAATATTATCGTAGATAGAACGTCCTTAAATGAAATCAAACTTATTTTATTAGATAAGTTGATTAAGGTAGGGGCACATCCTATTGGTCACTACTTTAAAGAGGAGTTTATATGAGGCGACGAGATTGAAGTCATTGATTTTTTCAGGAGTATCCTTCTTTGGTATGAAGATAAAAAATGTCTTGTCCCAATCGAAAGGTAGGGATTTGGTATCAAAAAAAGGTTAAAGATAATAAGGATATTGTTGCTAAAGGAATCATAATAGATTTAAAAGAATTTAACGTTCAAGCCATATAGGTTTGGGCTTTTACCCATGCCTATTTAAAAAAGGATAGTGTTGATTTTAAGCAAATGAAAGGCACGCACAGTATAGAGCTAGCAATGGCCAAATGCTAGGGAAGAGAGGGGGTGGAATTCTATGACCCCTGAAGAGTAGGATCAATGTTCGACCAAAAAATAGTATACTAGGAAGAGGATCTCACCATACTTATGGGTAGGGTCCTTATTGTCCTGCTTAATGAAGTTGATAAAGTTCTTTCGATTTCTAAATGTCGCCACCTTATAGAAGAAAGCAGTATTATGACCTTCCTTAATGAACCAATTGATTTTAATTTTAGTGGCTTATTTGGTGTGAAGCTATTTATTCAAGATTGAAAGCTTGTTGCGGAGGCATATGAAATTGGTGTGTTCCTCAAGAGTTAAGAAGGCATTGGAGTCCCTAGTCTCCAAGATAACTATTTTTTGATCCGTGTCGTTAACAGTTTTTTCCAAATCATGACCATGGCCCCGATGCCAATGGGCGAGTAAGTGGCTAGTATAAGAAAGTTTAAAATAAAGGTCAATCAAAGGGTCTCTAGAACCCATAGAGTCCCTATAAGTGAAGTTGATGATATTGCCAACATCTTAGTAGTTGGTCCAAAAGGATTAAAACATAAATATATCTTAGTTCTATGCTTGTGTCTATTCGGTTTAGAGGAGATGATGAGAAGGAAGGAGTGGTCAGAAGTAGTACGAGCAAGGTGATAAATAATAATTTTGTCATAAAGAGAAAACTAAAATGCATTGCCAATGGCTCTATCAAGCTGAGTATAAACCATAGAGGAGCCAAATCTATTATTGCTCCAAATATAATGGTTGCTAAAGAAATCCAAATCAACAAGATTTGTAGATAAAATCATGAAAATCCATAACTAACTTAGAAAGATAAAATAGTCCACCTCCTAATTTATCCTCGACAGAAAGAATCATGTTGAAATCACCATAGATGATCTATTACTAATCAAGCTCACACCTGAGAATAGATTCCATAAAAAATGACAAGCAGAAGGGCAAGTGCTAGCGTAAATTATAGTAAAGAGCGAGGAGGGTTATCTAAGGCGTCGATAATAAAATTAATACGTTAAGTAAATTTACTCACTATAGTAACCTTTATCGAATTTAACCTTTATCGAATTGGTCCTCTAAACTGTTATAATGTCACTTGAGTACCCAATAGCCATAAAAAAGTTTTCAGCCTAGCCATATTCACACTACAGAAGGAAGCATATATTGTGATTTACATTGAAGTGAGTTTCAAGTAGAGAGATGATGTCAAGGTTGTGTCTTAAGGAGACCAAATGCTCGTGACCTACTCTCTTCGACACTCCACTACAATTTCAAGAAAGAATAATCATTAATCAAGAGTAGGAAGTGAAGCCTTTATTACATCTATTGCATCACCACTAGTGTGCAGAGTGTTTTTCTTTTTATTCTTCAAAGAAGAAAGAGCAAAAAGTAGAGCCAGAGTAGATCTGAGCATCCTCCTCCGTGCCTTTGGTTTTCCTTCTCCATGTCCCAAATCCACTTTGGGTCAACTTCATTTGCTAGGAGCCCCAAGCTTAGTCCTTACTAAATGCCTCCATCATCTTATAGATGAGGGAGTCAAGGACTAAGACAGATTATACAAATGAGAAGAGAGTTAGGGCTTTCTCAAATGAAGGATTGGTAATAGCATACTAATAGTTCTTGAAAATGGATTATGAGATGGAAGAAGGTTTCCCCTCCTTTGGTTATGATAAGGTGATAAAGGGGATAGGGGAGATCGAGATTAAGGGATCCACGACCTTTTCCTTTTCCTTGTTTATAGTTGTCCCATGAGATCAGTCCATTAAGGGTCATGCTCTAGTTTGCACTAAAACGATCTTCTAGGGTAGGGCAATAGGCAAAGGGGACGTCTAGGGAGTAGCAACAGCCAGAGATAGCATAGAGATGAAGTAAGCACTAATTTCATAACTTACAAGGTGGAAAGATGAACAAACAACAATGACAAAGACACTGAGACAATCAACAAAGAGGCACCTCGAGCTAATCACTCTAATATATCAATTGCCATTAGGATAGTATCCAAAATTATTGCCAACCTATCCCAAGCTTTAGGAAAGGGGAAATAGTCCACAACAACAGGACCCAAACTAGGATCAGAGTCAATTGTTGATGTCAAGCTATAGTTTAGGAGACTTGGTACTAGTCTAGGTTGTTTGGTCTATAGCGGACTCTGACTTGAAAGAGCATATGGTCATCCCTTGGGCTTGTGCTCAGCTCAAACCCAAGAGCTAAAGGCATGCCTTACCTCGCTCCCTTCCATGGAGTTCATAACTTTCTCTTCATCTCCAACAAGTTCAGAGGCACTAGAGGCTAAGGCAATAAGGGTATAAAAGTTCAAATAATGCTAGATGCCCCCGTAATGATAGCATATATTGGGAATGTTCTTATACAAATTTGTTTGAAAGAATAAAGATAAGCCCTCCTAAATCAAGAAACCTTACAACAAAGATTTAGAGAAATTAATTTTAATATATACTCGAGTGAATCTATCTTTAGATTTTGAGAGTATAGTTTTATTGATTTTGATGATTCTTCCTATTATAGAGGCAATTTTGCTGAGGACTTTGGAGTTGAGTAGCTACAATGATAGACTAGGAAGTTGGATCCACATAGGAGCAACTTCCACCTTTTCTCTCATGAGCTAAAAGTTATCCTTCTAGGGGAGGAGAGTTAATGCTTGGTCACCAATAAATCATGGACTATTGGAAAGAATATTAATCATTTTCTCCTCTAAACTAAACCAAAGGCAAAAGAACCCTGAATCCATGTCCATAATCTGTCGTAGGAACGCGTCATAGATATAGTGCTTCCTTTCATCTCTAACCATGGTCACTTTTGAACGATCAAGCTCCATCACCAGCTTTGAGCTCTCTTGAATGTGGAAAATGGTTTCCACACATTGACCTCTATTCTTGCTTTAGGAACCCTGAAAGAGATTAGCCTAGGTCATCGAAAGAAGAGTTATCAATGGGGTTAAAGACAACAAAGAGGGACCTAGTGAAGATTATGTCTGAGTAGACCCTAGGGGTGAAGCAACTAAGTCCGAGGGGACAAGGGGAGGAGAAATCATGAAACTCTTAGGTGAAGGGGGCGGATGCTCGTAGTCTTTCATGATGTTAGGCTGTGTTGTGTTCCTTCCTCACTTTGATAAACCGATCAAAGCCATAGTAAAAGTGAGTCTTGGTAAGAGGATTGTCATGCTTATGGATCCAAATCCAAAATGGTTTATCCATGATCAAGATAAAGTTTTGGATGAAATTCGATTAAAATTCAAACTCATTAATATTAAATATTAACGAAGGAGTTACGGTTAGGATTCACATATCACACGAATAAAAAAAAATTATTTTCTCCTATTATGTAAATAGGTGTTGAAGTTGAATAGATTTCATTGATATTGATGATGAGAGTGATACTATAGAGAATAGAGAATAAGTTTTATAGTTTTATAGAGAACAGAGAATAGAAAATAGAGAATAAATATCAATGATGAGAGTGATATTATGAGAGTGATATCACACATTAGGATCAAGGGTACCTAACGAGACAATAGAGAATAAGTTTTATAGTCAAGAAAAAATAATTCATATACTAAATCCTTAAATGATCATAAGAGATACTATTATAAATATAGTAAGAAGGTTTGCAGAAGCAATCCTATTTGAAGGAGTGCATAATAATTTACTAATTCAATGCTTTTATTTCAAAAAATAAATGAAGATAGATAACTTGTTGAGATTATTGGATATAAAAAGTGTTGGTATAGAAAAAAATTTACTTTGTATAAAAGTGTGGACGAAGTGAAACTGAAAACATCTTATATTTAGGTAAATCTTGATTTCTTAAAATAAAGAGTAAAAAAAATATCTCAAATAAATATTCAACTATCATATATTACGGTGTAAGAAGTTAAAACCTATATGATTTTTAATAAAAGAAAATCGATAAAATAACCCCTGAGAAAATAAAAAACTATTATAAGGGAAACAGAAACTAAATCCTCCTTATAGGAAATCAAATACTGAAACCCCAATATCAGATGATCAAGAAGATATGGTGACATGATTTTAAAACTGTTTAATGTTTTATTTTAATTCTATGACATAATTTGAAATCCTCAAACTTCAAACATGGTATCTATTTGACCTTTAGAGACATGCATTAAAAACTAGCTTATCATATTTGTTGGAGATAATGATAGCAATGTAAATATGACTGTCAGATGAGTATCACATCCTATTTACAGAGCAAAGTTTCTGTACACAACAGTGGCAGGCCAAATCTTAATTTATTTACAATCAACAAGGCAAAATATTAGGAAAGTGTGACAGTTACATACAAAACAAGAGAGGACTCCCAGATTGAAAGAATATTTACAGCAAATGGTAGTCTCTGCATCTGAAGGTTTGATCCTTCCATAGAGGCCAAATATACTATGACTGTACAATACATTACATCAGAAAACTAGGCATCAGTTCAGCAACTCAGCCTTATCTTCCAACATCTCCCAATCATCATCTGAGCAATCCTGGTGGTGATCAGCAGCATCACCTTCCAGGGGAAGATTCATAGTAGCCTCTTTGTCGATCATGATTGAACTCTTGCTTGTCGGAGAATGGAGATCACTCTTAGGCAAGACAGTCTTCTCGGACAAAGAGTTTGATGAGGAGACCAGGGTGCCAGTTACTGACAATATCGGTCTGTTGTCTGGCATACATCCATAAACTCTATTTTTCAGAGATAACGCACTCTCACAGGCAACAGCTATTTCTTCTCTGTGATCAGAACAACACTATATTAATTCAATTTCTTCTACTAGTACCGATTAAAACATGCTAAACTGAAGTGTTGCAGTTTATGAATTGGAGAAAAAGAACATGATCTATCTACTCAAACATAATTATATGGTTCTGAATGGTTATGTTAAAAATGACATGACAGTTAGAATGATATTATCAGTAAACTATTACATCTGTTCACAGCCATGAGGGAAGCGAAAAGAACATATAATTATTTATATTAAAGACAAAAGTTGTAATCAAGTTCGTATAGTCACTAGCATCAAAAGATCAAACTATGCAGACAAAATGAACTTTTCAAGCCTTTTTAGCACTAAATAATTTGGGAGACAACACTTACTGTAAAATATCGAGCATGCGACCTCGATCCATTAGAAACTCTCTCAACTGTAGCACAAGAATGAGAAGTTTATCATACTTCTGAATGAATTAATTCATTAACAAATCTCAGGTCTTAGATGGCAGAACTTTTAAAGCACTTTCTTTTAAAGAGTGCTCCTATTATAAATTTACTGGAAATTTCTGTTTAGATGTCTCACAAGGCAACTTCTGAGTCATAGCAAGTGGTTAAGCTTGGGAACTTGTAAAAATTCCTAAACATCAACTTAAGATGTACACACGTATAATTCCTATGTTACCTTGGTGTTCTCCTCTGCTTCATTCTGGAGACAATATGTTTCTTGTAATATGCTATTCATGATGTCTTCCTGCTCACGAAAAAACTTGTGGGCCAAGTCTTCCCTTTTAAGCTTCTCCTGCTCAGCCGCTGCTTGTTCTTCCTTTGCATGAGCTAGTCGTGCACCCAGTGTTTGACAAATCTGTTATAAGTTTTAAAGCTATAGTTAGAAACACCAGATGCAAATCACAAAAAAGTAGAGTATTCTGCATTTCTCTTGGCCACATATCTAGCTTCCACATCAGTTTTATTGAAATGTTAATTCTGAAAAATTCAATAGCATCCAAATGTATAAAAGGAAAAGCTAAAAACGGTTTTCAAATGATGAAAGCAGAAAACTTGGAAGTTTCCATGAGGGAAGGTAATAAAGTAGCAATATAGGCACAAAGATACTGTAACAGAGTACTTTGTAACCTAGGAAGAAAAAAGAGAAATAAGCAATCATTTTGTTATTGTTGAAGAGATTCTTTAAAGGGATTAACAAGCTATCATCATTTCAACCATTGGTAGATTTTGCACATATCGATGAAAGGTCTAATAAATCAATTTTCCAAATCGAGCGTGTTTCACAAAGATGGTATCTGAGGTGTTCTTAATCAATATAGGCTTTTGTGGATCACAATCTCAGAGAGTTAACTTAGGCCAACTGGTTCAGCTTATGGACTGATTTGATTTATCTCTCATCAACATGGGGTTGGAGTTTACTGATGCTCAGATACAAATCAAATAACCTTCTGGTTGTCATTTCACCACCATTAGATTTTGGATTTTGGTGCCACACCACTTCTTGATGCCAGAAAGGAGATCAAAGTAAAGGTCAATTAGAATTCAGATTTTCTATTCTTTGTGCTTGTAGTCTTCTGTTTCAGCAGCATACCAGCCTTGCTGGCTGAAGCAGCTCGAGGTTCACGCAATCCGAAGACAGGAACAGGTAGAGTCTATATTTTAGGTTTGATTTCGGTTCTAAGAATCTAGCTACATCTTTCATTTTCCTAGTTATTTTTGTCAGGTTTCTTAGTCTACTTGGAAACAGTAATGACATGTTAATGACACTGAAAAGCTCAGTTGAATTACAAAATATATACAGCGCTAGATTAGTGTTGAATATTTTGCATCACACTAGTAGAAAAAAACTTACATTCATGATGGAATGAGCCAACAGGCATTACATACCTTTGCCTCAAAAAGAATAGCAGAAGATAAAAATCGACAAACTAATATGTAGTTTTGGTCCTTGCGAAGCAAAAATACACTGTTATGGTAAAGAACAGCATATGCCAGTTACATAGAGACCAACAATGTTTTCCTCACCTCCTCTAAAATAGAAAGTGATTTTTGTCTTTCATCTGAGATATTGATAAGCCGAGATTGAAGTTCCATAGCTTCAGGTGCCATTGTAGATTTTTCAGAATAAATTTCTTCAGCTTTCTGCCAACATCAAACAATGTGAGCATTGCTTACCATATAACTGAAATAAAGCAAGGCTAGCATGGAACACAACCTTCTCATTTGTGATTTTTGCATGGTTTATCTTCTGCCTGAGGTCCTCCGCTTCTTGGAATATATCTTCACCAGCCACAGAGGCTTCTTTTTTAGCTTGTTCAGCTCTCTCCTCGTGAAGCTCTACCTCTTTCAGCATGTTAATTGTTGATTCCAGTGCAGATACCAATGTTCTCTGGTTGACGTACAAATCACAAGTAATTCTAGGCAACAATGAAATGTATGTTTATAAGAAAAGCAGCAGAAGCTTTTGGTCTGCAGTTAACTCTTGTTTTACAATTTTTACTTGATAAAGGATTTGACATATAGTTCATCATTTAGAACTCAAAAAGCACAAATATAAATCCACATACAGATCAAGAGGTACATAAGCATTGGAAGAAAGGTGAACTACATTACTAAAGAGTTCAATAAGAAAGCTCAAGACAGGTTCAATAGATGTACCAGTAATTAGCTTGCTTGTCAACTGTTTAGCAACATGCGAGTGACTTGGTTATTTACCCCATTCCCCCATTAATACAACAACTTGAGTAACTTAATTTCCTTTGCTTTAATTTAACTTGGCATGCAGAGGTAGCTTTAGAATTTATATAGCTAATTTATCAAATGACATATACCACTGATCTTTCCATATGCAAAAATGCTGCAAAGTGATTTCTATTTCTGCATTGTCTAAGAGTTAGAGTTGTATCCTCAATTAATTTATCTATTATATAATTTGAACTGAGATTTTTTTAGCATTTTACTAGGCTAAAAGAATGTCAACAACTAAGCCGAGATGTAGTAGTTAAGGAGAGTTAGCATGACTTTACAATACATGTTTCACATTTCAACACTAGCACATATTGTAGTATAACTTAAAGAACGAAACAAGTAGGACTTGCAGAACTGCAACGTAACATACACAAACAAACCTCAACAACATAAAGGTTACCTTCTTGTTTTGAGCATCAAGAAGAATACTGTCGAGGAAGTCAATGTTAGGTATCTCTCCTTGTGTAGCTACAATTGCAGTTTGGAGCGTATCACTGATAGACACATTATCTTTTTCAAGTGGCAACAGAACAGAAGCCGTCTCAGCTAGGCACTCGAACTGTTGTACTTCATAATCACTTTGGAAATCTTCAATATTGATAAGTTCTCCAGATTTTTTAGAGTGTTGAGCTTGAGAAATTTCATGGACAGATGAGGTTTCCTCAGCATTGGTAAAAGCAGCTGACACAGTACTGTTAGCTTCAAAGTTGCATTTATCTTGGATTTTGGCAACATCCTTGAATGCTGCTAGTAACTGTTCTTCATACTCACTAATGCAACTGCTCATAGCCTTCTCTATCTGAGTTCCACATTCCATCAGATCTAGATTGTTTTGAACAGTTTGGAATGACAATGTAGGACAACCGTCTGAAGAGGCTGCTAGAGTGCCATTAAGTTTTGTCTTGCACAATTCTTGGACATCAGCATCCAGAACATCACACTTAGCTGCAACGGTCTGTGGTACACTAACTACTTCCTCCAGTTTGGTTTCCAAGGTTTCATTCTTTCCAAGGACATTAGAACAATTTCCAACAAGCATCACAACTGAGGATTGTGGCTCTGAATGAGCATTACTTTTATTATCAGCAGAAAGATTTATATCTGATTCAGCTTTCGGTTCGGAAGGTAGAAGAGTCTCTTTTTGCTCAACAATTACATTGTGACATGGTAATAGATTTGCCCCATTCGTGTCTTCCCGTGAATAATCACCTACTGCTTCCCACGTACATGGTACCAAATATTAGCCAAACTAGTATAACCATTTTCAAAAATAGTAATTTCACAAGTTAGCAAGAAGAAGAATAGTTAGAAAATATGAGACCATATGAAATATGTTGCACATTTCCTCTTAGTGTGTATAATGGAAAATATGATAAAATCAAGAAATCCCATAACAGATATAAGTATCTCAAAGAATTAAATTGCTCTAATTGAACTTGGTCACATGAAAAAACACCTACCATTAAGTGATTGTTCTGCATCAAGAGAGATATAGGGATTTGATGTTTCCGCTGGTTCAGTTATGATTGGTAAAACATCAGATAGAATGAACTCTACTGCAGTATCAACATCATCAGAATATTCAATAGCGACAGCCCTAAGTATTCGGAGATCAATCTGCAGTGAAGTAAAAGAGACACCAATTATAATGTCATCGAAAACAAAAGAACAACCCCAATATACAAATTCAACTTCCCCTGATTTTATAATTTACAAAGTCAAGATCCCAGGCAATCTTTAAATATCCAGACCAAAATTAATCAAACTAGCATTAGAACTTATAAGGAATGAAGAATTCTTCAAATAAATAATGTGGTGGATGTGGATGTGTCCTACAGATATGTTAACATCACAGTATATAACAATGTAAATTTCTGAAATGCGTAAAGTTGTAATATTCTGCATAAAGAAGCAGGAAAGCAATTTTAGAATCATCATCATTCCATATTCAGGGCATTACAGTCTCCCCTACTTAACCTTCCAAAGGCTAAAACCAGGGACATCCACAATCATGAAGTCTAGTAGTTCTATGCAAGTCAATGAAACTCATAATTAGGCAACACATAAGGGCCTGATTGATGACATTGTGTAATGCAACATGCACTGGAAAATCACACCAAAAGGTACAAACTGATTTTACAAGTGTAACATTTTGAACAAAGATCGGTGATTATTTCAACCTTGGAACTGTACACTGTCTCCACATTGCTCTATTCTGATCGTTTAAGAAATTATGACCGCTCGAATGATAGTCTTGTTATGATCTATAATAAATTTCAATTAATGGTTTCATTAAAATGATGATTATAGTCACACTGTCAACAACACATATTTGAAATTTGACACTACTGCACTACAATTGTAAGGATTATTTCTTTTCTGCATAGAATGAATCTATAGCTTCTTAGTTTTCGTTGCTCCCTCTTTCTGGCACATACTAGTTTGATATTTATTCAAGCATATGAACTAATGCTAATTATAATTGGAGTTGTAAATTGATGTTTTATCAGACTCATACTCTTGTTGTTTTCTTCTTCTGTACTAAGTAAATTTTCCATTAGTTCCTAGAAAATTGGAAGACAGAAGAGAAACCATTGATGTTGTTACCAATAATCACACAATAGCATACATAGCATGCCGATCTATTTGAGGAACATATACAATTCACATAACAAATATATATAATTTCTATAGTTCCACAAACTATTGTCCCGCATTTATGGGCATCATCCATGTGTTTGAGTAATTATAGTACTGTTCATGATTCTGACAAACACAACATCAGCACAACAATCGTTCAGTTGGCGCTTAGTATGCATTCCAATGAATCTCCGGACCGGGCGTAATCTGATATTATTGTCTGAGGTTTGGTATCAAGATTTGATATGGGGAGACCGTAATATCCCCGATCCAATTAACGTTACATTGGTGGAGGGCTGTAGTTTTGATTAATACATGAGTTCTTGAGTACTCCTTTTGGGAATTATCCCATGATGTCCAACAGTAGAAACACGAGAAAGAACATGACACTAACTAGATCTAAAGCAATTCCAACAGTCAGACCTCTGTTTGGTTGGTGTCCATAAAAATGTCTTTTTTATTGATTATACTAACATGGCCTCATACCTGCGGGAAGACCTCCTGCAGAGCACGAAGCACCGACTTCAGAGTCATGATTCGATAGCTAATACGCCCTCTGCAATAGACAAGTTGAGAACCAAATCAGTCGAGGCGAAATAGAAATCGATAAATCGAATTCCGATCATAACAAAAGGCACATAATTGAAACACAATTGAATTCTCACCGGAAAAGATCCAAGAAAGGAAAGGAAGAGAAAGGAGAACACGAGAAGGATGAGCAAGGGTAAGGGGAAAAAACCTATAGCGATACGGATCGATTGGAGATGGGCTGCTGACGGAAGAGAGAGAACTCGGGGATGCCTTGGAGATCAAGCAAGCAAGTGAATTCAACGGACTTCGTGCCCTCTCTTCTCCTATTAATAAGATAGGATAGGAAGCGTAGAATTCGTGGCGATACGTATGGATTCGAGTAGGAATCGAGGAGGTATACAAGAGATTCCGTCGTAGTGTGCGTTGCACGTGTGTCCGAAGAGACGCAAATTTATGTGGAAATTGGATTATTTTATTTAGGGTAATTTCTCACAAAGCCCCTCTATTAGTTCCTTTCCTCGGAGCACCCCATTTCTTTT